TATCTACAGGTCTGTACCCAGCACCAATTGTTTGGGAACCAGAAATCTAGGCTGCTAAAGTTCAAAGGGAGGTGAAAAAAACTGAAGCTTAGAAAAGGTAAATAATTCACTAAAATAGTATATATGAAAGTGTCTTAACACAAGGCCTGACACATGGTAGGTTCTCAATAATAGTTTGTAAAAAGAAATGAGCAAATTGTCCAAGATGTCACAAACAGTGAGTAGCGGGGCCGAAACTCCTGCACCTAGTTGTTTATCCTCTAACAGAGTGCCTCAAATGTCATCTTTAAAAATACTTTGCTTTTCACTGGTGCAGCCACTCTGGAAAACAGTATGGAAGTCCCTCAAAAAGTTAAAAATAGAGCTATGCAATGACCCAGCAATTGCACTACTAGGTATTTATCCAAAGGATACAAACATAGTAATTCAAAGAGGCACATGCACCCTAATGTTTATAGAGGCAATGTTCACAATAGCCAAACTATGGAAAGAGCGTAGATGTACATTGACAGATGAATGGATAAAGAAGATGTGGCCTACATATATGGAATATATATATATATGGAATATATACCGTATGTGTGTGTGTAACGGAATATTACTCAGCCATCAAAACGAATGAAATCTTGCCATTTGCAACAACGTGGATGGAACAAGAGGGTATTATGCTAAGCGAAATAAGTCAGTCAGAGAAAGACAAATACCATATGATTTCACTCATATGTGCAATCTAAGAAACAAAACAGATGAACATGGGGGAAGGGAAGGAAGAATAAAATAAGATGAAAACAGAGAGAGAGATAAACTATAAGAGACTCTTAACTCTAGGAAACAAACTGAAGGTTGCTGGAGAGGAGGTTGGTGGGGAGATGGGGTAACTGGGTGATGGGCATTAAGGAGGGCACAGGATGTAATGAGCACTGGGTGTTATATGCAACTGATGAATCACTGAATTCTACCTCTGGAAACTAATAATACAGTATATATTAATTAAAATTTTTTTAATTTAAAAATATTTTGCTTTTCATCCTACTTTTAAGAAGCATTTTGTAGGGGCGCCTGGGTGGCTCAGTCGTTAAGCGTCTGCCTTCAGTTCAGGTCATGATCCCAGGGTCCTGGGATCGAGCCCCGCATCCGGCTCCCTGCGCTGCGGGAAGCCTGCTTCTCCCTCTCCCACTCCCCCTGCTTGTGTTCCCTCTCTCACTGTGTCTCTCTCTCTCTCTCAAATAAATAAAAAAAATCTTTAAAAAAAAAAAAAGAAGAAGCATTTTGTAAGGAAGCGCAGAAGATAGTGTCTGTGCTCTTGTTGCGCTGTGGACTGGAACTTGCTGACTTCATTGTCATAGTAACTCCTTAGAGCCTTCTCTGAGCCCCTTCTTATGAGCCCTCAGAGCCCTTTGATTAAATTCTGTCTTTTATCATCGTTTGCACTTCCTTCTCTCTTATTTCTGGTTTCGTGAATATTAATTCTTGAAGTGTACATTTACTCATCTTTATATCCCCAACAGTGAGTGCCTAGCATAGAGCCTGGCACATAGTAAGTGCTCAATAAATTTCTGGTGAATTGAACTGAATTCCACTGGCCCTAGCTTCTGTGATTCTCCATGAATTGGTCCCTGAGCCCTCTGTCTCCTGTCTCCAATTCCTTTTAATAGTTTATAGTACAAGCTGGGTGAAACTAGATATGCTATTCTCAAAATCCAATGGAACTCTTTTCAAAATCACTCTTCCTCCCCATTTCTTCACTATGTCATTTTTGGTGAACTCTGCTTCCATCACCTTCCATCATTCATTTATTTGTTCACTCACAAATGTTCACTGACCTCTCATTTTGTGCTGGACACTGGAGATACAATAGTAAAGTAGACAGAAGAGTCCTGCCTTTTAGAACTTGTAATCTCCTGGAGATCAATAGTACACAAATAATAATTACAGATTGTGATAAGTACTAAGAAGAAAATAAACAAATGATACAGAGATCAGGGTTGACGTCTCTGAGGGGATCAAATCTAGGTCTAAAGTACCAAAGATGTAAAGAACCCTGCCAGACAAAGCTGCATTCCAGGGGAACGGTCATGTGACTGAGGTGTATTGAGTGAGGGGCGAGCAAGGTAGGATGAGGTCAGAGAGGCAGGCAGGAGCCACGCCATTTGGGAATCTTGTTGGTCTAGGGAAGGAGTGTGATCTGACTCTAAGTGCAGTGGAAGCCAATGAGTTTTTAAACAGAGGAGTAACATAATTTAACTGACATGTTTAAAAGATGATGCTAACTATTGTATGAAATCCAAATAGTGTGGGAACAAGACAGGGTGCAGGGAGAGCACTGCGAAGACTAATACAGTGGTCCAGGTGAGAACTGCTGGGGTCTGGACTAAGGAGGTGGCAGTGAAGATGGAAAGAGTGATCCAAGAGATACATTTGAAGTAGAATTGACAGGATTTGCTGATAATTTAAATATGAAACCTCTTTGTTTTACTGGTTAAGAAGATAAGGTACAGAAAGGCCAATTTGATAGGGAATAATTTTTGTACTATAACAACACTGATTATCTAACACCTGGTCTCATGTTCATTCTCTGCATCCATTCTATTTTTCATCGTTTTCAGCAATTCTCACTACCGTAGTGTCTTCTCTCATATGGAATCATTCACCAAATCCATCCCCCTCCTTTTCTGTATCTCCCTAAACCTCTCGCCTATGCTTGCCATGCCCAGACTGCTCTGGGTTAATGTGACTGCCTTCTGGTTGGCCTTGCTGCCTCCATTCAGCCTTGCAGCGTGGGTCATTTTTTATGGCTTCACTTCAACTGTGTCTCTAATAACTCTCCACCAACTCCCTACTCATTCACATGAAAACTCAGGCTTTGGGCAGTGGTTTCACGGCACTTCTCCACCTAGCACTACCCAACCCTTCCTTTTTGCTCTTGTCTCCCACTATAACCCAGCCCACCCCTTCAATTGTAGCCTTTTTGTAGATATCCCTCCCACCTCTGAGCTTTTAGGCCAGCTACTTTGTATATGAAATTCTCTCCTTTTTTCTGTCCTTTCTTCTTGACTAGCACAGTCAGATATTTTTCTTGAATCATTTCAATCATCCAATCTTTATTTCACCAAATAATAATTGAGTACCTCCTTTGGGCCAGACACTACTAGCTACTGGGGATGAAAAAATCAGTAGGATATGATCCTTGACCTTAAAAAGCTTACAGTCTGATGGGGGAGACAGCTGTAATCAAATAACCACAGTGCATTGTATTAAGTGGTGCAGGGGCTGTAAATACAGAATGCTGGGGGTATACATAGGGAGTAGTAACAAAACCTATTGAGGGAAACAGGAAAGGCTTCATGGAGGAAGTGGCATTTGAATTTACTGGAAGGGTTTATAAGTATCTTTTCAGTTGATGAAAGGGAGTAAAGGCATTCCTGGAAGAAGAAACCTGTTGTTATGTGATGATGATAATAATAGCTAGCATGTATTGGTTTTCAGGCACATGTGCACTTGTGATAGGCCAGAATATGCTTGAATTACAATGAGAATTTCAGTATGGCTAGAATATAGGGTATGGAGAGAAGCACATTGAAAAATGAGCCTAGGGGGAGAGGTTGGGAGAAGATTCTATAAGCAGTAGGAACCAGGAGAGATCATTAAAAGACGGAGTGATATGATCACTTTTGGCACTGTGGTAGCTACAGTGAAGCTGGTAGACAAGTTACAGAACTGTGGAGGTGATTGCAGTGGTCCCATAAGAGATGAGAGTTTGAACCAAGGTAAAGGCAGAGGGAACAGAGAAGAGGACATATCTAAAGTAAAACCGACAGTGCTGGGAATCTAGTTTGACATAACAGGGTGGAAGAGAGCAGAATCAGGAGATGACTCCAAGATTTCTAGTGGGATAGCATTAACTGGGACAGGGAACAGAAGAGGAGGAAAGGATTTAGGATGGACAATCATGACTTTATTTTAGAGCAATTTGGGTTTGGGTCACTAATATACAAGTAGAAAAGTCCAGGAAACTAGTGAACATAAAAAGTGCAGTGCTCAGAACCAAGTCAGCTTGCCACTCACAGCATCTAGAAACTTACTCATTCTCTAATGGCTGTATCTTTTCCTATGTATTCTGAGACTTATGCCAACTGTACACTTGTCTGCCCCAAAACTCTGGGGTCATCCTCAATGTCAAGCTTAAGTCCTTGCAATGGCTGACAAGGCCCTGCATGATCTGGCCTCTGTAACTTCTCTGACCTCATTTCCTACTACTCTGTTTTCCACCACATTGGCCTATTTGCTGTTCTTGGAAGGTACCAGGCACACTCCCACTTCAAAATTTTGCACTGGATGTTCCCTCTGCTTAGAATGCTTTTCCCTCTGATGTTCACATGATGAACTCCCTCACTTCAAGTCTTTGCTCAATTGCCACTTTTTCAATTAGACTTACCCTGACTACCATATTTAATATTACAGCTGCTCATCCCCTCTCCCTGGCCACTCACAATCACCCCTTTAGGTTTTTTTTTCACCTGTGGCACTAATCATCTGCCAACATACTGTGTAATTTACTTATTTCTTATGTTTATTATTCATCAATTCTGTCCCTCCTCTAGAATTTTAGCTTCTTGAGGACAGGAATTTTTCTTTCTTATTCATTAACATATGTCATGCACCTAAAACAGTGCTTGCAACATGATAAGTGCTCAGTATATATTTATATTTATTGAATAAATGAATGAGAGTACAGATTCCTATATCATTCTCCCCTTAAAATTTCTGTTTGCCATGGGCCTTGTACCCTTAGAGCCAAATAGAAATATAGGAAGGGGAAATGAGGAGGTGTAAGAATTATAACTTGGTGCCATCAGGCAGCCACATGTTTCTGGTATATTAAAACAAAGCCTTTCTTAACTAATGGCCCCTTTCATAGTTCGCTTCAGTCTCTTATCGCAACTGTAACAAATTATCACAAACATAATTATTTAAAGCAACACAAATTTATTCTTTTACAGTTCGGGAGATCAGAAGTCTAAAATGGGTCACAGGACTACATTCCTTCTGGAGGTTCTAGGGAAGAATCTGTTTCCTTGCCTTTTCCAGCTTCTGGAGGCCTCCTTCATTCCTTGACTTGTGTCTCCTTCCTCCATCTTCAAAGCACATCACTCAAACCTCTGCTTCTGTCACCACATCACCTCTCTGACTGTGTCTTTTCTGCTTTCTTATTTCCCCTATGAGGACACTTGTGATTACATTGAACTCACCCATATAATCCAGGATAATCTCCCTATCTCAAGATACTTAACGAATCACGTCTACCAGGTAGCATATTCACAAGTTCTAGAGATTAGGATTTGGACATCTTTGAGAGCATACAGACTAAAAACACACATTGCCAAGAGTTTGTTCAAGGATGTATAACCTAACTCTGAAGCCACCACACACCCTGGGGGCATATATAGATCAAAATGTTCTAAGGCAGCATTATTCAATAAAACTTTCTCTGATGATAGAAATGTCCTATATCTGGCAACCACTAGCCACATGTGGTTACTGAGCACTTGAAATGTGGCTAGTGAAACTGAGGAACTGAATTTTTATTTTATTTCAGTTGATTTAAACTTAATAGTTATATGTGACTAGTGATTCGACAGCACAAGTCTAGAGCTGGAGGGAAGGAATAGCCAGTAAGGAAAATTTTTTGTCTTAAGTATTAGCCTCGAGTGGAATTAAAAATAAAAACATAACTTCCTGAGGTTTTGTGGCCCCTGAGTTTGGAGTCTGAATATATATCATGTGAATAGTCCAAAAAGCCACAAGCCAAGAATTTTAATTTAAAGTGGACATAAGTCTGATACCTCAAGCACCAGGAAAAATCAAATGGAAATCTTTCCTGGGAGAAAGCAGCCTTGCTTCCAGACCTCATGGAAATCCCCCAGAGAGTTCTGACAAGCACTACTTCACAATCGAGTCACAATTTACACAAGAAAACCAACTACCAATGGGGAGAAATCAACAGGGAAAAAAATAAAACAATCAGACCCACAAAGATTTTAGATATTGAAATTATATACAGAATATAAAATACATATGTTAAATACATTTAAAGAAATAAAAGATTACAGAGCAAAGAGCAAGAGACAAAAAAGAAAAATAACCAGCTAGGTTTGGAAAAAAAAAAAAAAAGATAAAATACCTAGAAATGAAAAATATAATTGACCTTAGAAACTTCAGTGAAGGGCGCCTGGGTGGCTCAGTTGGTTAAGCGACTGCCTTCGGCTCAGGTCATGATCCTGGAGTCCCTGGATCGAGTCCCGCATCGGGCTCCCTGCTCGGCAGGGAGTCTGCTTCTCCCTCAGACCCTCCCCCCTCTCATGTGCTTTCTTTCTCATTCTCTCTCTCTCAAATAAATAAATAAAATCTTTAAAAAAAAAAAGAAACTTCAGTGAAGGTTTACACATCAGTTGAGAAATTAGGAAACTGAAAAATAGCTCTGAAAAAAATCACAGAATATACACAGAGATACAAAGAGATGAAAAATATGAGTGATTAAGAAATACAGAAGGTAGAGCAAGAAGGTCCAACACAAATTTCTTTAGAATTCTAAAAAGAAATAATAGAAAGAGGGGAAGAAATGTTCAGATAAATCATAGCTGAAAAATTTCCAGAATTTTCAAAAAGCAACAATCTGCAGATTCAGAAAGCCTAAGAAATTCCAGACAAGATAAACAAAAAGAAATTAATATTTACTTGCCTCAGAATTGAACTGCAGAACACCAGAGACAAAGATAAAAATCTTAAAACAAGCTAGAAGGAAAAGACCAGTCATGTACAAAAGAACAACAGTTAGACTAATAGCAGCAATGGAAGCCAGGTTAGAATATAATGCTGAAAATGCTTGAAGAAAATAATTTTTATCTTAGAGTTATATATTCTGTGAAACTATTTTTGGAGGATAAAGGCAACATGAAAACATTTTAATATTAAAAACTTTTGAAAGACGTTATCACCATTTGTTACTAAATAAGGAAAATTATCCAAAAAGGAAGTTCTGAGATATAAGATATAAGAAGGAATATTAAATAGAAAAAGTTAAACATGTGAGTAATATTAGTAATTTATAATTTGTGGGATTAAAAGAAGACAAAAAACACATGTTTAAAAGGCTTCACAATAGCAAATTATGTTGTTGAAGATGAGAATCAAAGCATTCTAATTGTCCCCTTTCCAAAGAGGGTAAAATATCTTAACTCTAGATTTTATTGAATTAAAGTAAACATATTTGAATTTCAAGGGTAGCCACTAAAAGAATAGAAAAAGAATGAGTGTCTTTCAAACTAACAAAAGAGGGACTGAGGAAAAAAAGAGTCAGTTAATTCAAAAGAGGGAAAAAAACACAGTAAAAGTGGAACCCATGGCACAAAATAAGGCAATATAAATATAAATTTAAACATATAGTTCTTCCCTAAAATACACTTTTGAAAATTTAAAAACACATTTTTATAAAAACCTTTGGGTCAAAGAAGAAATCTTAATGGAAATTAGAAAGTATTTAGAAATGAGCTTCTACATTGCACCTAAAATAGTGGTTAGAGGGATGTTTATATCTGAAATGCATATACTAAAAAAGAAGAAAGGCTGAAAATTAATGAGCATTTAGACTTCAACTTAAGAAGTTAGATAATGAACAATAGAATAAATCCAAAGAAATCCAAAGACGTTAGATAATGAACAATGAATAAATCCAAAGAAAGACATAAAAGAAAAACGTATTAAGATAGAAAACAATGTAGACAAGATCATCAAAACCAGGAATTAGTTATTTTAAAAGATAAATAAATTGACAAACCTGAGGAAATATTGATGAAGAAAAAAGAAAAAGAAATAAGGTCCACTTAAACATTGTTAGAAAAGGGTGACATTCCTACAGATGTAGTGGATTAAAATTTTAGTAAGAGAATACTTTGAACCACTTCATGTCAAAATTTTAAAAGTGTAGACCAAATGAACAAATAACTAGAAAAAGGTAACTACCAAAACTGATTCAAAAAGAAATAGAAAACATGAGTAGTTACATAACCATTAAATAAATTCAGTCAGTAATCAAAATATTCCCAGGAGAACCACTAAGTCTAGATGGTTTTGCCAAATATTCAAAAAAGAATTAATTCCAATATTATGAAAATTGTTCCAAAGAGTACGAAAAAAAAAGAACATTTCCAGGCTCATTCTGTGAGACCAATTTAACCTTAATACCAAAACCACACAAGGGTAGTATTGGGAGTGTGCCTGACTTGTTGGATGAAGAGCAAGAAGAGCAGTGTGTCTGGATTTGAGTGAATGAGAGGAAGAGTAGTAGATGATGAGGTCAGAGATTTAACAGGGAGCCAGAAATGTAAGGCCATGTAGATTACCTTAAGAACTTTCGTTTTTACTCTGCTAGTCCCTGGTTGAACAGGGGGCAAAAAATATAAACAACCTAAACTGTGAAAGCAGCCTCCAAATCACAAAGCTCCAATGATTAAGGTTAAAAAACTAACTAGTTTTGGAGGCTTAAGCACAACCTTGACAATAAGTGGCTTGTGCCAACCCAGGGTAGTCAGGCTAAAAGATAAAAACAAGGGAGAAAGGGGCACCTGGATGGCTCAGTCAGTTAAGCATCTGCCTTCGGCTCAGGTCATGGTCCCAGCGTCCTGGGATCAAGCCCCACATTGGGCTCCCTGCTCAGTGGGGAGCCTGCTTTCTCCTCTCCCTCTGCCTGCTGCTCCCCTTGCTCCCCTGCTTGTGCTTTCTCTCTCTCTCTCTCTCTGACAAATGAATAGATAAAATCTTTTAAAAAAAACAAGGGAGAAAATCTGAGCAGAAACATCAGAAGCTTCACACTTCAGGGAGGATAAATTTCACAAAGTTCTTTCAAGTCATTAAACAAATAACCAAGTAATTAAGCACCACTCCTGGGATGAGGTGGGGAATCAGCATCCTAGAGTTCCTACCATATATTATCTCAAATGTCCAGGTTTCAGCAAAAAATTACAAGACATGAGAAAAAAAAAAAAACAGGAAAGTGTGACCCATACACAGAGAAAAAAAAGAGAAGCACTAAAAACAGTCTTTGAAGAGGCTCAGATAGTAAACTTAGCAAAGATTTCAAAGCAGTTCTTATAAGTATGTTCAAAGCATTAAACATAACCATGCTTAAAGAAGTAAAGGGAGGTATGATGGCAATGTTTCAACAAATATAGATTATCAATAAAGAGATGGAAATTATAAAAAAGAAAGGGATATTCTGGTGTTGAACTGTACAATAACAAATGAAAATTTGGGCGCCTGGGTGGCTCAGTCGTTAAGCGTCTGCCTTCGGCTCAGGCCATGGTCCCAGGGTCCTGGGATCGAGCCCCGCATCGGGCTCCTTGCTCTGCGGGAAGCCTGCTCTCCCTCTCCTGCTCCCCCTGCTTGTGTTCCTCCTCTCGCTGTATCTCTCTCTGTCAAATAAATAAAATCTTTAAAAAAAAAAATGAAAATTTGCTAGAAGAAGGTCTACGGTAGATTTGAGTCGGCAGAAGAAAGAATCAGTGAACTTGAAGATATATCGATAGAAATTATGCAATCTGAAGAACAGAGAGAAAAAAATGAAGAAAGATGAACAGAGCCTCAAAGAAATGTGGGATATAACTGAGTGCATCAACATATGCATAATGGTAGTATTAGAAAGAGAGGAGAGTGCAAAAAAGACAGAAAAAGATATTCAAAGAAATAATTGCTGAAAACCTCTCAAATTTAATGAAAAACATCAATCTATATGCCCAAGAAACTCAAATAATTCTAAGTAAAGCCAAAGAGATCATACCCAGAGCCATCACAGTAAAATGTTGAAAGACAAAGAGAATCATAAAAGCAGGAATAGAAAAAAAGACTCATTACATGCAAGGGAACCCCAGTAAGATTAATAACTGACTTCCTATAAGAAACAATGGAGGCAAGAAGGCAGTAGGATGGTATAGTCAAACCACTGAAAGTTTTTCAAAAAGCACCAAGAATTATATATTGAGCAATAATGAAAGTGAAATAAAGACATTCCCAAATTAAAAAAAAAAAAAAAAAAAAAAAAAACCCTGAGAGAATTCACTGCTAGCATACCTTTCTTAAAAGAAATACTAAGTAAAGTTTCTTGAGGCTAAAAGCAAGTGATGTCAGACAGTAATGTGAATCCATATGAAAAACAAAGAAATCTGGTGAAAGTAATTGAGTAATTAGAAAAGACGGTATAATTGCCTATTTCTTCCTCTTTCCTCTCTTGACTGGTTTAAAAAGCAACTGCATAAAAGTGTTGGGACTATAATATACAGAAATACAATATATTTGATGATAACAGCATAAAGGAGAGTGACGGGAACAAAGTTGATTGGAATAAGAAAATGACACTAGATAGTAATTCAAATCCACAGGAAGAAATGAAAAGGACCAGAAAAGTAAATAAAAATATTAATAAACACTTAAAATATATATTTGTTTTCCTTCTCTCAGCCTTTTTAAAAGACAAAATTATACAAAGTAATAATTACAGCAATGTATTGTTGGATTTGTAACATATACAGATATCTATGTATGTATAATGATAATATTAAAAAGAGGGGGAGGCAATGAAGCTATTTAAAATGTCTGTATTTCACTAGAACTAAGTCAGTATAAATCTAAAATAGATTCTAATATGATATATATATGCCCTAGAGAAACCACTAAGAAAATAATTCAAAAACAAAGAATTTAAAAATCATGAAAGGAATCAAAATGTTAAGAAAATATTCACCCAGTACAAAGGAAGATAACAAAAACCAAAAAGACATGTGACATATAGAAAACAAAAGCAAAATGGCAATGTAAATGTAAATTTACATTTATCCATTCATCCATCAATGGACACTTAGGTTGTGTGTACACACACACACACACAGGAATACTATTCAGCCATTAAAAAGGATGGAATCTTGCCATTTGCAACAATATGGATAGACCTTGAGAGCATTATGCTGAGTGAAATAAGTCAGAGAGAGGAAGACAAATACCATATGATCTCACTTATGCATGGAATCTTTAAAAAAAAAAACTCAGAGAACAGATTGGTGGTTGCCAAAGGAGGAGGGGGGTGGGCAAAATGTAAAAATTTCCAATTATAAAATAAATAAGTCATGGAGATGTAATTTGAAGAACGATGACTATAGTTAATAATACCGTATTACATATTTGCAAGTTCCTAAGACAGTAGATCTTGAAAGCCCTCATCACAAGAAAAAATGTTTGTAACTGTGTGAAAAAAAAGGATTATAAGAGGAATGCTATGAATAATTGTATGCCAACAAATCACATAACCTACATTAAATGGGAAGATTCCTAGAAAGGCACAAACAACCAAAACTGAAGTGTCAAGAAGAAATAGAAACTCTACATAGATCTATAACAATTAAACAGATTGGATTAATGATCAAAACCCTCCCACCAAAAAAAGGTGCAAGACCAGATGGCTTCCCTGGTGAATTCTACCAAATGTTTAAAGAAAAATCAAAAGCAATCCTTTCAAACTCTTCCAGAAAATAGAAAAGAACACTCGTAACAAATTTATGAGATAATTATTTCATATTTCAAAACTTAAAACAAAGCTGAAGTAACCAAAACAGTGTGGTACTGGCATGAGGATATTGATCAATGGAATAAAATTGAGAGCCCATGAATAAACCTTCATATTTATGGTCAATTGATTTTTTTAAAAAATTTTTATTTATTTATTTGACAGAGAGAGACACAGTGAGAGAAGGAACACAAGCAGGGGGAGTGGGAGAGGGAGAAGCAGGCTTCCCGCGGAACAGGGAGCCTCATGCGGGGCTCGATCCCAGGACCCTGGGATCATGACCTGAGCCGAAGGCAGACGCTTAACGACTGAGCCACCCAGGCGCCCCTATGGTCAATTGACTTTACAAGAGTGCCAAGACAACTCAGTACAGGAAAAAAATAGTCTTTTCAGAAATCACAGAAATGGTGTTGGGACAACATGCAAAAGAATGAAGTTGGACCTCTACCTCACATCACATATAAAAAATAACTCAAAATATATCAAAGATCTAAATGTAAGACAACTAAAACTATAAAACTCTTAGAAGAAAACATTGGTGTGAACCTTCATGACCTTGTATTAGGCAATAATTTCTTAGATACAACACCAAAAACATAAGCAAAAAAAGAAAAAATAGATAAATTGGACTTCATCAAAATTAAAATTTTTCTCTGCTACAAATGATATCTTCAAGTAAATGGGAAGACAACTCCTAGAATGGGAGAAAATATTTGCAAATCATATATCTGACATAGGACTTGTATCTAGAATATTAAAAAAAAACCCTACAACTCAATAATAAAAGACAAATAATTCAATTTAAAAATAGGCAAAGGATCTGGATAAGAAGTAGATACAAAAAGATATACAAATGACCAACAAGGACAGGAAAAGATGTTCAACAACAGTAATCCTTATAGAAATGCACATCCAAACCACAAGATACCACTTCATACCCACTAGGATGGCTACAGTAAAAATGACAGATCATAACGAGCGGTAACAAAGATGTGGAGAAATGGAAGCCACATACACCTCCTGTGGGAATACAGGCTGGTAGTTCTTCAAAAGGTTAAACGTGGAGTTACCTTATGACTCAGCAATTCCATTCCTAGGTATATACCCAATGAAAACATATGTCCACACAAAAAAATTGTAAGCAAATGTTCATAGCAGCATTATTCACATTAGCCAAAAAGTGGAAATAGCCCGAATGTCCATCAACTGATCAATGTATAAATAAGACATGATATACCCATACAATGGAACAATATTTGGCAATAAAGAGGAATGAGGTACCTGAAGTAAAGACCATATATTATATGATTCCACGTGAAATGTTCAGAATAGACAAATCTATAAAGACAAAAAGTAAATTGGTGGTTGCCTAGCACAACATGAGGTGAGGGGATAAAGAGTGGCTACTGATGAGTACTAGCTTCTTTTAGGGGGAACAAAAATACAAAATTAGTAGCAATGGTCACATAACGTTGTGAATGTATACCAAAAGACATTGACTTGTACACTGAATGGGTGAATCGTATAGTGTGTAGATTATATCTCAATAAAGCTGGGGTTTTTTTAAAGATTTTATTTATTTATTTGTTTGTTTGTTTATTTATTTATTTATTTATTTATTTATTTATTTATTTGAGAGAAAGAGAGAGAGAGAGAGAGAGATAGAAAGCACAAGAGGGGAGGAGAGGGAGAAACAGGCTCCCCGCTGAGCAGCGAGCCAGATGCTGGGGCTCAATCCCAGGACCCCGGGATCATGACCTGAGCTGAAGGCAGACGCTTAACCAACTGAGCCACCCAGGTGCCCCTCAATACAACTGTTTTTTGAAAAGATAATGGTGGCTTGAACTAGTGTGGTATCAGTGTAGATTATGAGACATGAAATGAATCTCTACATATTTTGAAGGTAGAGTGAGGAGGATTTGCTGCCATATCGTGAGTGGTGTGAAAGGAAGCAAGGACTCAAAGATTTTGCTCTGAGCAACTGGAATGATGGGAGTGAGCAACTGAGGTAGAGAAGACTGTGGGAGGCACAGTTTCAGGTAATAACTTAGAGTTCAGTTTGGACATGTTGAATTGCAGTAGGTCAAAGGAATATATATATATCTCATTTGTGTGTGTGTGTGTATATATATATAAACAGTATATATGTATGTGTGTATATATATATGTATATATACATATACACACAAAGCATATACAAATGGTAAATCCAGATAGTGAGTTGAACTAGCATTGCAAAATTGGGTGTTAACATATAGATAGAATTTAGAACCATGAGAATGGATGGGATCACCAAGGGAGTGTGGATAGCTAGAAAAGAGAAGAGGTTTAAGGCCTGGCCCCCCGGGACAGTCCAAAATTGAAATGTTGGGGAAATGAGAAAGAATGAGTAAAGAAGACTGAGAGAGAATAACCAGTGAGGTAAGAAGAAAATCAAAAGTGTGTGCCGTCCTGGAAGCAAAGTAAAGAAAGTGTTTTAAGGAGGAGGTAGTGATCAACTGTGTCATGTGCTGCTGACAAACCAAGGGAGATGAGGATTGAGATTTGACCGTTGAGTTTGGCAACCGTGTAGCCCTCGGTGACCTTGCCAAGAGCAGTTTTGATAAAGCTAAGTGGAAAAGTCTGATTGGAGTACATTTCAGAGAGAATGTAGAAAGATAAGTCTCATTTCTGTACACCAACAACAAGAACCAAAAATGCCATTTTCAAAAGCTACTGTAGCAATAAAAATAGAAGTTATCTATGAAGAAAATCTAATAAAAGATGGGCCAGAGATCCTTTATGGAGGAAATTATAAAACTATTGAAGTGCAGAGCTGTGTTCTGTTCACAGGTAAGGGCTACTCAATATTGTAAAGATATCCTTTCTCCCTGAATCAACCAGAGTCAATGTTATTCCAGTCAAAATCCCAACAGGGTTTTTCATGGAATTGGACAAGCCAGTTCTAAAATTTACATAGGAGTGCAAAGACAAAGGCAAGACATTCTTGAAGAGTATCACAGTAGAAAAACTTATTCTGTTGGATACTAAGATTTTTTTTTTTTTAAGATTTTTTTATTTCTTTATTTGACAGAGAGAGAGAGACACAGCGAGAGAAGGAACACAAGCAGGGGGAGCGGGAGAGGGAGAAGCAGGCCTCCTGCCGAGCAGGGAGCCCAATGCGGGGCTCGATCCCAGGACCCTGGGATCATGACCTGAGCTGAAGGCAGACGCCTAATGACTGAGCCTCCCAGGCGCCCCGATACTAAGATTTCTAACACAGCTATAGTACTTAAAAGAGTGCAATATTAGGACAGAGGTTTGACAAATAGGCCAAGATAATAGAGCAGAAAACTCAAAAATAGGCCTATACCTATTTGGAAATTTGATGTATTGACAGGTAGCATTGCAGATCAATGGGGGAAAGGATTAACTCTTTAATAACTGATGTTGGGGAAATTGGTTATCCACAAAGAGATAATAAAATTAGATTCCCACCTCACATCAA